CCCTCCTTTTTTAAAGGCATCATTCCCACAGTATGCTAGATGTGCTGTTTCCACTAAGCATCCTGCCTCAGTCCTTTTGTGAAGAATTTGTCATTTTTGCCCCGGGAGGAAGGGGGCAGCAGATTTCGGGCCCTTGCTGTGACTCAACCCTCCTCACACCCTCCCACCTGCCTAGGAGTGATGAGTGCCTGCCAGGCTTTGCTACCTTGGCAGATTAACTCGGTTCTTAAGAGAGATGTAAATGTTGATAAACAGTAGAATGGGAAAGAGGCGTGTATGTTTGATTTTAGATGGCACATTTGATATCACAGGGATGTCTTATTTTCCATTTCAGAGAAAAGAAGCCAAGACAGTACAGTGGAGACCATGAGAACCTGATGAACGTGGTGAGTCCGTGTGCACATGTGTGCATGTCTGTGCTTGCATGTGTCTACATGTGTGCACACATATGTACATGTATCTCCATGTGTGTGCGCGTACCTGCATTCTTACATGTGTGTCTATGTGTGCATGTCTCTGTCAAAAGACATCTGCATTTGCACATGTGCTTGTGTGTGTGTTTGTGCTTCTCTTTGTGTGGACGTGTCTACATGTGTCTGTGTGTCTGTGTATATGTGCATCTGCATGCATGCATGTGTGTCTACATGTGTGTACATGAGCCTGTATATGCGTCTGCATGTGCATGTTTTCAAACACCAGCCACTTATCTAGGCATGTTCTTACAAGCTTATAATTTCCTTCCAGAAAGAACTCAGCCTGAGTTCACAGCTGCCTGGGCTGGTCCTTCCTCAGGTGCAGGCTCACGTGGCTGGCGGCCTGTGCAAGCAGCCAGGCTTCTGGGAGGGCTTCTAACATGGGTGCAATCGAGCAGGTGCCGGGAAGATCCTGAGAGAGCTCCAGCCTGCAGCAGGGATGTCTCTTTGCTGCGTCCACCCTGCTCCAGCTTGTGTATTCATTCACTAGGGCTATCCTAACAAAGGACCACAAACTGAGTGGCTTAAACATCAAGTTTCTTGTCTAACAGCTCTGGAGGCTGGAAATCCGAGATCAAGGTGTCAATGGGGTTGGTTCTGAGGGCAAATCTTTTCTGGCGTCATCATCACGTGGTGTCCTCCCTGCCATGCGTGCCGGTCTCTGTCCACGTTTCCCCTTTTTATAAGGGCTCCAGTGTGACCTCATCTTAACTGGTTTCATCTGCAATGACCCTGTTAAGGTCGCATCCTAAGGTATCTGTGGCTGGAACTTCAGCACAGGAATTTGGGGAGGGTACAGTTCACCCCATAACAGCTGGCCATCAAGCTAACCAGAGCCTGGGAGCCCCAACACTCTGGGTGTGGCCTGGCCTTGGTGCATTTTCCTGTCCAGCCCCAAGGGCGTTTCAGGTCCACCTGGTGAGGAGCCACCTGAGATGCCTGGTCCCTTGGAGTCCTGGCTCTGCCTTGTGCTCTCTGCTCAGGTTCATGCCCTTGACCAGTGGAATCATTCCAGCAACTGGGGGTGGGCCACCCTAGTGTTCGCAGGGCCGTCTTCGTCAGGGTCCTGCCTGAGCCCCAAGGGCTGCTGAAGCAGAGAGCACGCTCCCTGATGTGATCTCTCACGATCAGGCAACAAGTGCAGAGTCAGCCTGTTTGGGGAGAGGGAGTAAAATGTGCAGGGAGCAGGTGGGCTCAGAGCTCACCCGGGAAGTGTCTCCAGGCTCGGTCACCCTGCTCCACAAATGTGCCCAAGCAGACAGGAAGCTGCCAGGACCCTCTCCTCCTGGGAGCCCCTGGGGTCCACTCCCCTTCCGCTCTGGTGCACCCATTGCTATCCTGGGTTCTCACCCTCACCCTTTGTCTCACCCTCTCTCAGTCTCTGCTTGTCTGGTTCCTGTGGCCATTTCCTCCTAGAAGCTAAAAGTAGTGATGGTAGGCAAAGCCCGGGTTATGGTAATTCAGCCGGGATGGATTGTTACCTGGGAGGCTTCCTCCCACACACCTGACACCTGCCCCGGTAAAAATTCCCTCCTGTGATATTAGCCTCTGTTCCCCGAGTTCCTGGCCACCTCACACAGTGACCCGTCTCCTAAGCACCCTCCACTGAATGAGACAGCTGATTCCCATGAGCTTTCGGATCGTGACGCAGCCTGAGCTATTTGCTCTCTACTATTATGTGGCTCCCAATCTGGAGTCAGAATGGACAAGGCCACCAGGCTGAGCTTCTGGTGCTCTTTACATCAGCACTTTCCACGTGAAGTCCTGGAGCTGGTCCAGGGTGGCCTCCTGGGCCTGCAGGCCATGCATTCCATGAGATGGGTGGGGACAGACACATGAGCGGTGGCTCAGGCTGCCACACGGGACCAGCTGGGTATTTGAAGAAACACGTGAATGCCCGGCCGGCGTGGCTCATTGGTTGAAAATCAATCTATGATTCAGGAGATCACGGTTCGATTCCCATCAGGGCACATGCCTGGGTTGCGGGCTTTGTCCCCAGTGGGGG